TATCTATAGAAAAAAACTAACTGTTTTAAAAAAGAAACATTGATAACTCAAAAACTTGTCAATAGGTACCGAATAAAAAAATATGAAAATCGGTTGACAAACAGAGGAAAATATCTACTGAACTGTTTTGCCTTTGCATATTTATATTTAGGTAAATTACTCATAAAGTAATTAAAAAGTCCGTGTATATTTATAATTGAATGATTATCATAGAACAGATTATATATTATATTGTATATAAACAATATGTAGGCATTATTCAAAATAACCAAAACTCTCACTTAAACTGCAACGAATATAAAACACAGTACACACAACAAAGCTATACATTTGTTATAGATATACATAAAGTTTTGTTTTGACGTCGGCTTACATGGCGGCAAAAGTTATATAATTTTTACACTACCGTATTCCTTTTTAACGTCCCACTGCTGGGGGTGGGCCTCCCTTCAATACGAAGGGGATCAGGCCATAGCCCACCATACTGGCCAAATGCTTGACACCGAGGGACAATAATCATCGCTGGTAAAAAAATGTGTGTGTTTACTTATGTACGCACGTAAGAACTTATACATATTTCTTTGTTTTTTTTAGAGCATATAAATAAAAGTTTTTTTAAATGTTTTAACTTATTTTTCCCCATATTATTCTAAGCAAACCTTATTTGATATCCTTATCGTAAGGGTTAATAAAAAAATAGTGCGCCATCTTTGGGTGTCCACCATATTGGATTAAATATGACGTAACTTTGCTTATAGTGTTTCGCTCAAGTTTTGTATACAGTGTGTTAAAAAAACCCTGTCCGATCGGAAACCAGTGTATAGGTATCCCAGTCACATGACCAAATAAAATAAGAAATATAAAATATTCATGATAGTAAACATATTTAATGTATGTGATGTTAATCATGTGGCGGCGGCATCTTTGATGTGTGCCGACAGACGATGCGCCGCCCGTTGTCAAAGGTACCGCTCGGCACGTGTAGAGGCTATCCCGACCTTGAATTACATACTTACGATCACTATTTGTTTGCTTTATTATTTATTTCATTTAAAATTGTCAGTTTCGCGAAACATTGCATCCGAGTAAACGTGTTGGAGAAATTGAGTTTTAACTATGTCGTATACGAATGAAGAGTACTGTAATATGATAATGTGTTTGGGGAGGAGTGACTGCAATTATGCAGAGGCTTATAGAGACTATGAAGTGCGTTTCGCAGTTCCGCGGGGTACCACGGTGCCGTCAGAGCGTGCGGTTCAACGTCTTCACAATCGTATGTACACCACGAGCAGTGTTCACGGCTACGAAACGCATCACGCTGATACAAGGACACCGCGTATCGACATGGATATTGAAGAGCAGGTGCTTGTGTTATTTAATGAGGACCCCACCCGAAGTACTCGTTCTGTGGCACGACAATTGGGCACTAACCACGTTCAGGTCTGGAAAGTGTTAAAAGAAGATGGCCAGCATCCTTTCCACTACCGTCGTATCCAAGCTTTACTACCCAGTGATTATGAACCTAGAGTGGAATATTGTGCATGGATTTTAAGGAAAATTGAAGAGGACGCTGAATTTTTAAAAAGGGTTATTTTCACCAATGAATGTTCTTTTCATAGAACAGGCATCTTTAACAGCCGGAATGAATATGTGTGGTCGACGCTAAATCCTTACGCTAATAATCCGTGATAACCTTTTGCGACGGTGTCAAGCCTGTATCACTCGCGGAGGTCGTCACATGGAACAACATCTGCATCACAGCCATCGCATTGGCGTCCTCATTGAATAACAGACTACCTACTTACAAAATACAAATTGATAAGCGTAGTTTGAACTTTGAGGTCAACTGCGTTCATGAGCTTATGACGTCACCAGTATTGCCATGTAAGTTTCACAATTTATGAAATATTTTAAATTTTTAAACGGGGTAATTTTTTTTTACTTGGAATCTGTTTTTTTTTACATAAATAGAATCGAATCGCGATACCTAATAATACCTTCACGGGTCGGACAGGGTTTTTTTTAACACACTGTATAGAAATACCAATATATATATATATATATATATATATATATATATATATATATCTTAAATAAAGACATCTCACTATATTAAAGAGAGATTTAACGAATACCATTACTCTCATAATTTTCTTCATAACGCGTCAAAATACAAAGGCAGTTCATAAACTATACATACATATTATAAATATAAACACCCATGACTGGAGTACAAACATTCGTGCTCATCACACAAATGAATGTTCTCAGCAGGACTAGAACCCGCGACTTCTGGCACAGCAAGTAGGGTCACTACAAACTGAGCCAAACGTATAGTTAAACGTGTAATATAACTTAAAAAATATACAAAAATATATATTTTATAGTAACTCCATGTAAGTCCATCTTTACCAAGCAATACCTTGATAAACATGATGCGAAGCGGATAGCTCGTAGCGATTCAAATGGAATCAATAAGTGTAATAATATTTATGAGTAGTATTTAATACTTTACCAAACTATAATAAGGCGCCATTTTATTACATATTTTCTTTTTTAAATGACATTTTTGAACGAAAATATTCGATTTAAATCCTTAAAATTAAATTATTTAATCTTTATTTGTTAGATATAATACATATTATGTATTGAAAAGTATAAATACAAAATGGATGCTGCTAAATAAGTCTATTGGATGAATTAAAAATATAATAATTACACGTAAAAATTAATTATGGTATAAACTTTGCAACCCCTTTTTAATATTTTAGGGGTGAGATTTTAATTATTTTTTTAACTTTATCCATACTAATGATGATGTTCTCCTAGCCGATTCCGGCCACGGCGGCCAATCTCATTGAGACTAGCCAACTGCGCAGGAGATATTATAGTGCACAAGTGTACGCGCAGACACAACGTGCACTCTCTGTTCCTGTCACTCTCATACTCCGGTGGGACGACACGACACACGACCGGTGAGAGTTAAGGCGCAGGACCGACGGCTTTACGTGCTCTCCGAGGTAGGTGGTGTAGCACCACCAACTTCCCAACTCCGGGCTGTTACTGAGGCTTACTTATAAAGAAAGACTCAATAACTAAACTTGGCCCGACCCGGGACTCGAACCCAGGACCTCCGAGTGTGCAGCACACCACCGAGGCAGTTAAATCCATACTAATATTATAAATGTGAAAGTATAGATCTCTGTTTGTTGCCTTTTCACGCTTTAACGGCTGAATATATTTCGATAATATTTGGTAATGACGTAGATTCAAGATTGCATTCTAGGGTAGGACATAGGCTAAACTTAAACTTTTATTACCCCGCTTAATCACACGAGACAGAAACGAAGCCGCGGGTAAAACTAGTTATATATAAAAATGTTTTTTAAGCAATTGTGGATTTACCTTTGTATGAAGTTATTCAACAGATATGTTTTAATAGATAAAAAAGCTTTAAAAATTTCAACCATCTCTTTATTCTCTCTAATTTGCAATATTATTAGTAATATTTTTATTTTATCTTTTTAGTTTTTATTATTGTAACTTTTTTAAGAAAGGCATTTCGTACGTTTCTTTTATTAGTCAACTAGAGACATCTGTTTTTATTTTTTTTATATTTAAAACTAAGCTACGACATATGTTCAATAGATGGCATGGGATATCTAACTATGTCCTAAAAAGAATATATGAGTTAACATATTTAGTGATATTAATGAAAATAAAATAAACACGTCTATTTTAATTATATTTATATAATTATATATAACAATATTTTTCTCAAAAAAATTTCCAAACACAACATTGTTGAAAAGAAATGCTTTAATGCTCAAAAAATTTCAGAACGCATGTCCACTTTGACATTTTCAAATCGACGCAAAAAACTTGGATTTTTTACAAATATTGTGTTTTTATTGCTGATAAACTAAAGCAATCTTTAGAATTACCTTTAATTAGGTTAACAGTGTGTTTTACTTATTGGTAATTAAACTCATTCGTCGTGGATCCCAACATCAGCGGTATTGTTTATTATTGTTGTTGACCCGGTTCATGCCTCAATATTTAATTTTGCATGCCTTTGTTTTGCTCCCATTCTACAGTGTGTTTTAAGTTAGAATTTTGAACTCATTTCTTCTTTCATTTTAATTTCTTAATCTTAAGAAGCTATATTACATTTACTCCATATACGTTTTAGTAAACACAAAAATAAAAATATGTCTAACTTTATGAATTTTCTTGTTTTCCGTGCCGATATATTTTCAATCTTCAAATATTTTTTACATAAATCTTATTAACATATATTATAAATAAATAAAGTTTAAAAACATTATTTTTTTTAAATATATGAATTACTAATTTGCATTTCTTAACATCCCAATATCTTATATAACATTATATCTTAATAACAAGTATGCACCATTTTTAGTGTATATTATATAATATTAAATTATTTTTTAAATTCAAAATTAATAGATAAATAATGAAATACAGAGTATTTTTACAAATATATAGAAGACATATTAATTCATTATGTATAAGCTTCTGAATTTCTTATGAGTCATTATTTTCAACTGGTCATAGCATTATATAACAACATACAGTACAATAAATAATCCAATTTGTAGGATAAGTTACACTTGACTTGATCTCAACTATATTAGACTCAATGATTTCATGTAATATAAAATTGCACTGTAAATGTAAAAAAACCTTAGCTATCCAATTAAATTCATTTCAAAAATATTTATCATGAGAATTGCTAGTAGATTCTTTATAATATTTTGAAGAAAACTTTTTCAGGTGTGATTGAGGGGTAAGTTAATACATTAGAAAAATGAGTGTCACAAAAGTGTGAAGTCTAAAGTCACATGTGAAGTCTGCCAACCCACAATTGGACTATGGCCTGATTCCTCTCGCATTGACTTTAGGCCACTGTCTAGTGGGACGATAGAAAGTGCTGAGTACAATATGATTAATTCAATTTTTTCTATCTTCCAGTAGAGATGTGTCCGGGGGAAGGTTGGAGGGGGGTCGCCAGATCCCCCTCTCATGAGTCGGTGACAACAGAACTGTCACTGTTCAGTGTGTCCTCCGCTGCATCAGATGCAAGAGTGCTCAGGCTTTTGGCTAGCAAGGTATGCTATTGTACTAGCTATAGATTTTTGTTGATAAGTAAATAATAGTAATAATTTGATTATTTCTCATCACAAAAAGTGAATAGATCAAAGTTTATTACAATGTAAGTTTCACAAATAATATAAATGGAAGCCTGGTTTCTGTAGTAGGTAAAAAAAACCTGTATTACAGATCGTCAGCCACTCATTATCATTTAGAATTATAGGGTTATTTTATTTTTAACTAGCGACTCACCCTCGTTCTGCTCGGGTTCGTCTCTACTTATATTTAGTATATATTTCTTAGAGATGAGTAAAAAGTATCCTATATGTTGACACAGACAACTAGCTACCATCATACCAAATTTGATCAAAATCCCTCCAGTAGTTTTTCTGTGATGCTGTCACATGCAGACAGACAGACAAAAATTCTAAAAACTATAGATTCGGCCTCTGTATTGATAATAATGTTTATTTCAATAAGATTTTCCTAAAAAATTTTAATGTACAGATTCGGCTTAGTTACATTTTTAATATTATATTAAGTATTTATTATTTTGTATAGATATAAAAAGTTCCATCTTTCAAAGGCACACGGGGCAATGTCCAGTGCCCCCAGTCTCACGAGGGCCCCGAAAATATAACATATTCATTTACATGGGAAAGAGAGAAGCTCAATTTTAAGTCTATAATACCCTACACTTTTTTTTTAATTTTGTTTTTTTTTTGTTTTATAATTCACGTTTCTTAACTTTCTAATAGGACTCTTAATGAGCAAAATATGAATGGCTGCTTCTAATGAAGTTAAAAGGCCGAGAGAGTATTTTTTTTTTGTTTTTGTAGTTTTTTTTTGTGTCGGGAGTTATTGAAAATTTTATAATTAAAGTATGTATTATATTATTGTTATATCTCTACTTTACAGGCGGGCCAGGGTCCGGATCCTTCATTGAGGGTTGCGAGCCCGAATCCCGAAGGAAAAGCTATCAAGTGAGTCTTTAAACACTAAATAGCTTGTTTTTAGGGTTCCGTACCCAAAGGGTAAAATGGGACCCTATTACTAAGACTCCGCTGTCCGTCCGTCCGTCTGTCTGTCACCAGGCTGTATCTCATGAACCGTGACAGACAGTTGAAATTTTCACATATGATGTATTTCTGTTGCCGCTATAACAACAAATACTAAAAAACAGAATAAAATAAATATTTAAGGGGGCTCCCATACAACAAACGTGATTTTTTTGCTCGTTTTTGCTTGATATTGATAACGACAAAAGTAGACGCATGACATATTTACAGAATATTTAGTTATATATTCACTTTAAAAATAAATAATTAAATTAAAAAAAAAACATATATTTAAATGGGGCTCCCATACAACAGACATGATTTTTTTAGTGTTTTTATAGATAATGGTACGAACCCTTCGTGCGCGAGTCCGACTCGCACTTTTTTTTATTTTAACGCGGCTTCCTAATTAGAATTATAAAAAAATCAATTAAATTAATTAAGTGTTGTTATATACTCTATGCCATGTCTATAAATAAAAGATTTGAAAAGTCCAAAACCTCGGTCTCTCTTGTGAACATTTTTGCTGTAAAGAACTAGAAATGTCACAAAAACCTTAAAAAAATCCGAAAAGATAATTTAATTTCAAAAGTTAATTATTCGCGTTAACATTTTAAATAAAACTAACTTCTCGGATTTTTTTTGTGTGTTTATTTTGATTTTTGGTTCCCGACGTTTCGAATGCTTTACAACAATCATGGTCACGGGAGAGACTGAGGTGTTAGACGTCTCAATGGTTTATTATATAGTTGTTACAGACACCATCTACACACAAAATTAAACAATAATTTCCATTTTTGTATTCTTTCGCAATTTTTGTATTTCTGAACAAAAAATCCAGTCAAATATTGGCGTAAGTCTAAGAATGTATTAAACTAAAGACATTTGTTCCAGACGAGGGTCTACTTCGATCCTTCAGTCTGGGGACGCGTGTCGGGAGCTCCTGGCCGGGTGCGCGGCCCTGTGCGCCCAGTTAGGGCTCCGTAGATCTTTCAGTGCTGGGGATGTGGCCTCGGGGACTGTGGCCAAGCCTGTCAGAAGGTATATGTCTAACTGTGGGGTTCCAGGGTAATTGAATTGAAATCGTATTTTATTTCATTTTTAGTCACGATGAAAACTCAAAAGCACTCAGTGACTCGGCATTGGTGTGTCCCGTTTTTAGATTTTTTGTCCCGATTTTCAGCCAGTATCATTGAAATTTTTGCCGTAATATTGCAGTTACTCTTCATGTAACAGTTCAACATATTTGGGTGAAACTTCAAAAAAAGATAGTTTATATCTTGGATTATTACAGATTTTTTTATAAATGCGAAAGTTTGTAAGTATATATGTATGTTTGTCACTTCTTCAAGAACGGCTGGACGGACGGATTTGGTTGAGTACACAGCATCTATTTATATATATATTTGTAATAATATCCAGTGCGACATCGGAGGTGGGTCTGTGCGCGGCGCTCGAGGCCCTCACGATGAGTGCGGCGTCTCGCTCCTGCAGCACATGGGTCGCGGGTTCGTATTCATTGTTAAATTGAATATTTGCGACACTATAAAACTTTTGTAATTATTATAGTTTTTATCTGTTTTTGCTATTTATGTACTATAATTTGAATTGTTTTTGCTAGTAATAAATTTTGCATTGATAGCAAAAAATCAAGACATACAATTATCGGCTTAAAAGTATCCTCAAAAACACAATTCGAAATTTGTGCTCTTTTTTTTTCAAATATTTTTTGTTCATTGCTTTTTAGATGACAAAATTAAAACACACGTTGTCTTATTTCAAAAAGTATTTTAAATAAAACTATCTTTTCGGATTTTTTCGCGGATTTATTTGGATTTTTGGTTCCCGACGTTTCGAATGCTTTACAGCAATCATGGTCACGGGAGAGACTGAGGTGTTACATGTCTCGAAAGTATAGTTGTTACAGACAGCCTACCCACAAATAACAAAATGAAAAATTGCACCAATTACCTTACAATATTTTATAACTTTAGACATTTTTATAATTTTAATTAGTTTTATAATTGAATATGGAATATTATTTATTTCATTTTTGCTGTTATTATTATAATATTTCAATTGGTGTTGGTAAGTTCGAAATCTGTTTTTAGACAACTGGAACTTTCGATTTTTGAACTGCACTTTTTGAAGAGATATTTGTTAGGAAACGTGTATGTATGTTTTTATATATCAATGGACAGAGACGCTTATTATCATTTTTGCCTATTTTGTTGTTTTATATATTTTGTTAGTAGTAAATGAATATTCAGCAGATTTGTATTTAGTTTTTGATAGAATTTGTTTTCGATAATCGATTTTGTCCAACAAAAGTATTATGCAAATTCGGCCTTTGATATCGGATTTAAAAAATTTTATGTTTGTTTTTTTATACTTGTTTACATTGAAATGCTCGACATATTTGGATGAAATGTATTGTTCAGATAAATTATGATCTATGGGACGCTATCTGTTATAGTATACTAAAAACTATTATTGAGGAAGGCTGTAGGCTTTATATCATCATGGTACTACCTCAGGGAGCGGAGTAGTAATCAGATATGTCAACAAATCGGGCAGACTTACATACATTATTGTAAAATTGATGTTTATATATGTTTAAGTGTTTTAAGCTCAGAATATATAATATATAGTCTATCTATTCCATATTAACTGTTGAAACGTACCTAGGGACGAACTCAAGAAAAGCGAGAGTGAGTCGCTAGTGTTGAATATACCGCCTGATCCCCCTCGTATAAAGGGCGGCCCACTCCCAGCAGTACGACGTTAAAAAGGGCTGACTACAATACAAATTATATATACGGAGTTTAACAGTAACACAACGTGTTACAGTAGGCGGGTCGCAGCTGCCGTCCCCGCAGCGCGCGCACCCCGCGCAGCCGCCGCCGCGCGCGCTGCCCGGCGACAACAAGAAGGTGATCCGGCTCGGAGGGCCATTGCTTCAATATTTACATTTTATCCGGCTTGAAGGACCATTGGTTCATTATTTTGATTTTATCCGGCTCGAAAGACCATTTTGAAAGATTTTCTTTTTATCCAGCTCAAAGGACCATTTCTAAATATTTGGATTTTTATTTAGCTTATCGGCTTGGTAAACATATGTCCCTTATATCCGGCTCGAAAGATTAATTTTAAATTTGAAACAAATAGTTGATAAAGTTAAACTAAATAAAAATATTTTTTTACTTAAAAAAAGAAACAGAATCAGTTTAGCTTTTGATTTCATCCAATTTTCTATATAACACGAGAATTTAAGTTGAGGTAATTTTAGATTGTTTTTATGGGTTAATTTGTTTTAATTAAATTTTAAAATATTTGTGGTAATTTGTAGAATTTTAAATGTGATATTGTCAGAATCCTCCCATATTTTTTTTTGCTTGACTTGCTGAACACTGTCACTGATACGTATGGCTAAAAGAAATTTAATTAATTAAAAAATATCAGCAACATAGTGTCAAATTAATCTTTATTCGAGTTTTCTCATAAACGTGACACTTTAGAATACCATATGAATGATATTTTTTTATTTTAACATCATCTATCCACTCAAACAAATTTTATCATGCGCCGCCATTTTGAAAAAAAATGGCGGCAAATGTCAGATTTCATAGAAAAATGTCTGAAATCCTCATTTCCCCACCGAAAACGTAACGCAATCACGATTATCGTACAATGAACGCTCTAGGTCCGCCAGAATTATATAAAGCGTCGACTTCTGACGACGTACAGAGCGTTGGAGAGGATGTCGCAGTCCGAATTCAATCTGGATAAACTGGAGGTAAGTTTTCTTTTTTTTATAAATGATTAAAAATTGTATTTCTGTTTTATTATTTTGTTTTTGTATCCGACTTTAAAAAAAGGCAATCTTGAATTCTCATATAATAGCTAAATGAAAAAATATGGTTTTCTTAGTGTTTTATTTTTAACTAGCGACTCACCCTAGTATAGATTTCTAAAAAGTATCGTATATGTTGACCAGCTATCATCATACAACATTTCATCAAAATCTGTCCAGTGGTTTTCTCGTGATACGTTCTCAGACAGATAGACAAAAATTCTAAAAACTATAGATTCTCTCTCTCTCCGTAACGATAGAATGACTATTTCAATAAGATTTTCCAAAAAATACTTAATGTATGGATTCGACTCACAATTTTACATATTATATGTATAGATGATGTTATCTTATATATTTTTTTCTCAATATAGGCAGTAGCATCCGCCGCTGCCAACACCGGCCCCGGACCGACCACTCTCGCGGTGCCCACCAAAACCACTAAGTTTGTACACCCAGGTATGTCTAATGCTTTGTTTCACTATTTATTTGTGGTTGTATTTTTTCTAAATAGTTTTTTTTTAGAATTTTGCAGATTTATTCTTTTTTTTTTGGAGTTCTAAGTGGTCTAGATGGGGAATAAATTACTTGTCGAATTTACTGTATTGGACTGAGTGTATTATTTTTTTTTTATAAAAAAAAGAATAAATTTGTAATTATTATTTATGTCAAAATATTATTATTAATGATTCGACGACGTGTTTCCCTACAATAGATATTTCAACAGATTTTGATAAATCTTTGACAGAAGCGGCACATTTGGCCCTCACAGCCGCGGATTTAGAACGCGAAAGGGGACGCCCTCTATCAAAATACGAAAGAAACATGATAATATTCAACTGGCTCCATACTCTAGACGAGGCTGCCCCGTTCTAGAACCTTCTCAATGGTTATCAAATATTCTGACATGTTTTTGACGTGTTATGGTGTGTAATGTAACGTTCCGGACATGTCATGTCGGTTGTTCACTTTGAAAATTGATAATTTTCAAAGTAAACAATCAACTGAAATTTGTTTTGTAACGCAATATGGGTATACTAATATTATATAAGGCACTTTGGATCGAAATGGTATCAAATTAATTTAATTAAAAAACTAGCGACTCACCCTCGCTTCGCTCGGGTTCGTCCCTGACTTGCTTCCCCATACAAACTTTCATCCCCATTCTCCCCCCTTTAAGGGATGATTTCCGTGATAAAAACTATTTCACTCACTCACTTTTCATATCATGGGATTAAAAAAAACTTATTTTAGTAAAAAAAAACCTTTTAATTTTTTTTCTATACAAAGCTTGTCCTGAAAATAACAAACACAAAAAAAAAAGATTATCCAATTTGGTGCAGTCGATCGGAAGTTATGCGCGTACATACATTTCGGTGATTCATTTTTATTTATATAGATACATAAAATTAGTGTTGTCAAAGTCCCGATTTTAGCTTGACGTCCCGATCGGTTATAATTTTCGGGACAAAAAATTGAATAAACGTAATTTAAAAAAAATGATATTTTTTGTAGTGTTTTGACATAATTATAAATCAAAAATTAACCTCAAAAAGGATATAAGCTTTATGCCATTTAAGTACTGCAGCCATTTTTCAAATTTGTCTAAATTTGCTGTGTAAAAACATAGATACTTCAAAAAAATCGAAGTATTGCCGTTTTCGAAGTACTAATGAGAAGATAAAAATATATTAAAAATATCATAATCATTAATAGTGAGCTGATTACGTATTAATATGCGTTGTGTTTTAACTATCTCGATGTTAGAACATCGGTGATTGCTTTGCTGGGTTCGAGCCCCGGGTCGGGCCAAGGTTAGTCATTAGGTTTTCTGTAAAAAAACCCAGTAACAAGCCCGGAGATGGAAAGTTCGCGGTGCTTTCTTCTATAGTCTATACCATCTACCATATATACCAATTTCATCGAGCGTCATAAAAAAGTTAAAATGGCGGCTGATATTAAATACAAGCTCCATTAAAAAATATTCTGACTCCATTTGAAATATTTCGCTTCGATGTGTCGTCATTATCGTAATTATATTAATATAATAATACTTTAATTTGTGTCATATTTATATATTTTAAAAATATTTAAGGATTTGAATGTCGATCTCAATTTTTTTTATTCTGACAATTGTTTTTTTTTCAATAAAATATGCAATAGTATTACATAGCAGATTAAAAAAAATATAGGCGTATGGAATATGTCATAAAAGAAAATATTTCATATTTTGACACTCGCAAAGAATAGTATTGTAAATAGTTTTTTTTTCTCATAATATATTCAAAGTTCTAATTTAAAATACTAAGTTAGAAGATTGTTCCTAACAATCATAGATCAAAAAAGTACCAGATACACAATCCCATGCAAAAGTTCTCTTAAAACTGTCACCAATTGTGTTTAGGTAATTGTTCTAGTTGAAATAAATATACGACAATGTAAATTGAACCTTAAATACAATGTATAAAGTTGTTTTCACAAAAAAATATTAAAAGCGCGCTCAAATGTTCAAATGAGCACTCATTCGGTGAGGACGTTTTTTGTCTTATTGTGTATCTAGTACTTTTTAGATCGATGCTAGGAGTAGTATTTTTTTTAGTTTGTTAGTGACTTTTTTATTTCTTTTCCTCAAAATATAATTTTACATTGTCTTAAAAAACGGCATAACATAGTTTTAATTTAAAAAGACCGGATTTGATTATTTTTGATCTTATCCGTATCGTATTCTACTGCAGTAACCATATTTAAACAAAATATGCCTATCGCTTTACACTGTACTCTGAGCGTTCCGTCACTCAATCTATTATTTTTTGTGTAATTATTAAACGTAATTTGAGTTAAACTAAAACTTATTTAACTAAATATTAAAAAAATAAATATTAAAAAAAATTGCGGATGCCGGTAAAAGTTCAAAATGAATGACTCTCATACAAAAAAATCTGACTTAAACCATTTAGGTTTGGTAAATCTTAATATTAACTGGAAAGTCTTAACATTATTCGTAATTTCAAGTTTCGCAGTAACATAATGGGTCTTTTTTTTCGTACTATGACTATATTATAGTATTATAGTAAAGAATTAATGTGTCTAAGTATAATAGCAATGATCTCGATATACTTTCTAAGATTTACGCGTGTATTTGTAATTTTAAATAAAACTATTTCTTTGGAATTTTATTGCGGCTTTATTTTGTTTTTTGGTTCTCGACTTTTCGAATGCTTCACTTTAGACGTCTCAAGGGTCATTATATAGTTGTTACAGACAGTACCTACCCACAAAATTATACAATATATTTAGAGATCAAAAAGAGAAATAGCATCTAAATACCTTCAAATAAAAAAAAATTGCTGCAAAGCATTCGAAACACCAGGACCAAAAAAAAAAAACAAAAAAAATCCCCAAAAAAAAAACATCCTAAAAAATGGTTTTACTTATAATGATTTTGTGTCTTTTAGAAGTATTGTAGGACGATTCTTTATGTCAAATGAAGTTTTAATTTGTTAACTATCCATATTAAAATATATTTTTTTTTTAGGATTTTAGGTTAAACTAAAAAAGGTTACATTACTTTTTGTAAGCTGTGGTTTGTTTTTTAATGGTATGAAAAAAACAACTATAGATTACCCAAGTCTTAACTCTTTGCAAAATATCAGGGAATAATGAACATAGAACAATAATATAAAAAAAATTAGTCCATTTAAATGCATATCTTGATAAAATAAATTAGAAGATAAATGCTTGCTTTTAATAGATAATGCAAGTCTGTCCGTTTGTTACTAAGGACCTACTGAATCTATTTCGATGGTAATTTTGAACTTGTATAGCTTAGTTTTTGCAGCTACCAAGTAATTTATAACATATTATTATACAGAGTGTTTCATAGTTGGCATTACATTTATCTCTTTCTATTTGTCTGTCTCTCTCATTCACGCGAGTATTAGTAGATCTGCTTTATATACTTATAAATCAAAAACATTTCCATGCTTTTAGTTTATAAATAGTTCTCATTAAGTGTTTTGAGGTTTAGAAAATAATTTAAGTATGTAAGAATGAAAATTAAAAGGTATATTTTGAGAGATAGAGAAATAGAAAGAGAGATAAAATAAAGGCACAATATCTCGGAAAAGTAACGCTCTTGGCCACCGTATTGCTGACTTTTTTTTAAATATCCCTTAAACAAACATACCAGTTTTTTAAAACTTGTTATTATTCACAATTCGTGTTTATTCTTACATATCTCTAAAAGAACCGTGATAGGAAAAATAATAATAGATGAAAATAGAACAGTGTGTCCAACTTAAAGTACTATTTTTGAATACATGTATATATACCAACATAAGAATAATATTGTTCGTTTTCCTAATACTAGCTACTAGAAAAACGTTCAAACCTATCGATCAAAAAAGTACTAGATACACAATCCCATGCAAAAGTTCTCTTAAAACTGTCACCAATTGTGTTTAGGTAGTTGTTCTAGTTGAAATAAATATACGACAATGTAAATTGAACCTTAAATGCAATGCTTAAATATAATTTCACAAAAAAAATATATTAAAAGAACGCTCAAATGTTCAAATGAGCGCTCATTCGGTGAGGACATTTTTTGGCGCTGATTGTGTATCTAGCAATTTTTTGATCGATGTTCAAACCCTTTCCATCCATAAATGAATTTGATATGATATTAATCAATTTCATTAATCAAACACTCTGTATTTAATAAACAACTGCAAATGCAACTGCTTCCGTGGTGTAGTGGCTAGCATGTACGGCTGCACACCCGGAGGTCCTGGGTTCGAGTCCCGGGTCGGGCCAAGTTTAGTTATTGAGTCTTTCTGTATAAGTAAGCCTCAGTAACATCCCGGAGTTGGGAAGTTGGCGGTGTTTCACCCCCGTGCCTCGGAGAGCACGTAAAGCCGTCGGTCCTGCGCCGACACTCTCACTGGTCGTGTCGAACAGTCGTCCCACCGGAGTATGAGAGTGACAGGAATAGAGAGTGCACGTTGTGTCTGCGCGTACACTTGTGCACTATAATATCTCCTGCGCAGTTGGCTAGTCTCAATGAGATTGGCCGCCGTGGCCGGAATCGGTCGGGAGAACATCATTTAATAAATAAGTTGTTCAAAATTAATACAATAAAGTAAGACAGGCGTTTCATACACTCTTATTGAATTTGTAATATGAACATTGTCATCAAAAATTTTGGGTTCTAAACTTTTTTTTAAACTCAATTTTTTTTTTCATTATATTATTTGATTTTAATATAGGATGGTCGAAACAATGTCTGGTAAAATTAGTTACTACGAAAAATCGATATTTTTTTTTCTTTATCTATAATATACAGGATCCTTAACAAAGTCATTTAATTGATTTTTTTTTTGTTTCCGACGTTTTGAATAATTACTTTACAGCAAACATAATCACAAGAGAGACTGTGCCTCAAATCAAGAAGTCACAAAATAAAATCTCAATACAAAAAAGTCTCAATAAAAAATGTAGTTTTATTTAAATAATAATTTCCACAACCGTAAGTTACAAGTATTGTTTTATTTTAATTCAAAACTCATATACTGCATTTTTCTTTATTTTTACTATGTACACTATGCTTAATATGAAATTTATTTATCCAGGAACCAGATGAATGATTATAAACTATGTAAATATCATATATTATCTTCCATCTTGTTTTTGATTATTTAGACATAGCACAAACATTTTTCATTTTTTGTTATTATTTGAATATTAATGTGTGTGTGAATGATTTGATTTATTGAAAAATATTACGTTTTTTGTCTATTAGGATATTCTGGTAAGATCTCATACTTAGTTAAATGACCTAAATTTTTTTTTATATGGAATCTCTTTTAGTCTTAATT